CCTAATAATTACTAACGTTTTTTACAGATACGGAATCAGCAATAATGATAATCACTTGTGTTCGATGCATATTGGATTGTGCCATTGAAATACTGTTTCATAATAGTTCCTGTTTCCACATGCCTCTGGAGCCAATTAGATTCTCAAACCATCGGATTTTTTAAAATATGGTATCAAAAATAATGCCAAATAATTGCGCTTGATGTATAACGGGTTGTGCCAAATATCTGGTGCCAGCCATGTTTTGTTTTTCTGTTTAATGCACACGTGATGAAGATATTTATCTGATCCATGTTTTAATTGCGAAAAAATAACAAGTAAATTATCGAAAACATCACAACGGTACTTGTAATCGGATAATGCCTACTATGTTAATATCTCTTTTGCTTAGGTAGGTATTAGTTTGCAATAATTGCAAGTAATAACAAGTTAAAAAGTAATCGTAAACGATTTACATAAAGCGCATTTCCACTTGCATTCATTTCCCATTTGTAAGATGCAACTTCTGTTAAAATCGTAAAATCCGGCCACAAATATGAAAGATAGCGTTGCACATGGGCAATCCATTGTTGACGTGCTACTTCAATTTCAGTTTATGAGAAGAATTTCATTCCAATGCTTTTCTAAATAAGAAACTTGGAACTGCGCATGCGCAAACCTAAATTTTAAAACTAATGTTAGATTTTCCTTTATCCCAAGTGCCTATGTATCAAATTTCGTTTAAATTCTTCCATAAATAAAAAAGTTGGCACTGCGCATGCGCAAAACCAAATTTTGAAACTGGCGTTTGATTTTCTTTTATCCCAAGTGCCTATGTATCAAATTTCGTTTAAATTCTTCCATAAATAAAAAAGTTGGCACTGCGCATGCGCAAAACCAAATTTTGAAATTGACGTTTGATTTTCCTTTATCCCAAGTGCCTATGTATCAAATTTCGTTTAAATTCTTCCATAAATAAAAAAGTTGGCACTGCGCATGCGCAAAACCAAATTTTGAAATTGGCGTTTGATTTTCCTTTATCCCAAGTGCCTATGTATCAAATTTCGTTTAAATTCTTCCATAAATAAAAAAGTTGGCACTGCGCATGCGCAAAACCAAATTTTGAAATTGGCGTTTGATTTTCCTTTATTTCAAGTGCCTATGTATCAAATTTCATTCAAATACTTTTATAAGTAAAAAAGTTTGCAATTCGGTTTATAAATGGTCGAGATGCGAAAAGGGCACTGTGAATTTTGAATCGATTCGATTCAACTTTTGGCATTGCGTATTATATGGCTAAAGCTATGCCCATATTGAATTTCATGCAATTCAGTTCATAACTAACGGAGATGTAAAAGCGATCGAACATTTCTAAACAAAGTTATCGTTCACACGGACAGATAGATGGACAGACAGACAAAGGAACAGACGGAGAGACCAACCGGCAGGCGACAGATAGCAATGCAAAATTATAAACGATCTCTAGGATCGTTAATAAACGGCAAAAGTGTAAAATTATGGAACATGTAAAAAACGGTTTTTTTTGTTTTTTTTACAATAACTTTTTTTGTAAGCGGTACAGAAAAAAATCCTTCCTTGGTGCAAGACTCGACACCATAACGAACCAAATAGCGAAAAAAGTAGAACAATAGCTCTTAAGATAAAGAACTAGTAGCGTCGCAAAACGAGCGGACGGACGGACGGACGGACAAAGTGGCCACAATAGCGCATTTTTTTTTAATTTTTGTGGAAATGCGCTAATAAAGCTTGTAGACTTCCGATCTTAATTTTTGAGAATGAAATTTTGTGCGATCTTGGAGAACATTTTGGACCAATGCAAAAACGATTGCCGTTCCCACGAATAATATACCGCTAACACGTGTTCTCATAGGTTTTTTTTTCATATTTAATTCGACATAGGCACCACATTAGGTTATTTGAGTATAATACATACAACAATTTTGATTCATTACAATACATTAACAATAGTCTCGCTCGATACACACACGCACAATGTAATATGCAGTGAGCACAATTGATTACCATTATTGTTTATTCCATAACTGTGAAAAAAGTGGGGACTGACAGTCGAGTTGGCTCCTGAGACTTTGAATGGAAGAACTACCGCGTATCGTAAAACTATTTTCATACATTTGAACGGCACAATCCAATATGCATCGAGCATAACTCGTTAAAGCAGTAGTGGAATTTGTCACTTAAAAAATCCCGAGGGGGTTGAGAGTCAAGTTGGCCCCCGAAATGACAGTGCAGAACAGAAAGTTGAGGGCTAGAAGTTAAGTTGCGGCCTTCGTGACTTGAGTGCAGGATCCACCGTGTATCGCAAGATTATTTTCGAATATACGATCGGCAGAGAGTCAAATTGACCCCCACGTTTTATTTCAAGGAAAACTGATTTTCCCGATCATCACAAATTAAAGTTGAATCAGCAGAATTTAAAAATGTTCATTTCAGACTTTTTTTTAATTGCGGGGGCTAACATGATGGAGTTGGTTTCATGCCACATTGCTACGTACATTTTTAACCAACTTTCTTCATTAAAAGTTATCTAAAAGTAGTCACACCCACCCCTAAGCCTGCACAAAAATTCACAAGTTAGAATCCTTCAGTTAGTACACCATAAGTGCGTGTTTATTGCTTCAAATGCATTTTTAACTAACTTTTTTCATTAAAAAGTTATCTAAAAGGAGGCACACACCCGCACCCCTAAGCTTGCACAAAAATCAACTAGTGAAAACCCTTCACGTCGTGCAGCATAAATGCATGTTTATTGCTTCAAACAGATTTTTAACCAACTTTCTTCATTAAAAAGTTATCTAAAAGGAGTCACACCCACTCCTAAGCCTTCACAAAAATTGACAACGGAGAGTCCTTCAGTTAGTACGCCATAAGTGCACGTTCATTGCTTCAATGCATTTTTAACTAACTTTTTTCACAAAAAAGTTATCTAAAAGGAGGCACACATACCCCTAAGCCTGCACAAAAATTTACAAATGAAAACCGTTCAGTTCGTGCACCATAAGTGTATGTTTATCGCTTCCAAAACATCTTAAACCAACTTTTTTCATCAAAAAGTTATCTAAAATGAATCGCAGCCACCCCTAATCCTGCACAAAGTTCAGTTCGTGCACTTAAAATCGATGGGCAATGACACGAACAAGACAAAACAGTCCTTTCTGCAACATCTTATATACATTAAATCTAACCCAGAGTGACTGAGAAGAATTATTTTGCCAATAAACCAAAATAAAGTTAGTAGGTACGTCTACCCCATTAATCACATTGCTTCCAAAAACATTCCATTGCAAAGTCGAAAATGATGAGCAAATGAATCACAAGGACATCAGGTTGTATGTATACAACGTATACCTACGTTTAAGAATAAACAAACCCGTTCGGATTGATAAGAACACATTATTACGATACTATTAAACAGTCATTTCGCAATCGCGATTCGGTGTGTATCTCTGTGTAACGTAAGTGCATTTGTTTAGTTTTGAAGTAGGTACTAACTATTCATCTTGTGGTATAAATGAATATGATTTTCAAATTCCACTATTTCTACTCGTATATCACCCATCGTCCTTAGATTAAGATAGAAAGAGAGATTTGTCTTCGTCGTTAATTAAATTGGTTGGTCATATCATAGGTACCTTTATTATAGAGATGCTTGGAGGATGATCCATGTTTGTGTTTCCTTGATTGTACCAAAGGTGTAGTATGATCTTTGATTGTACTGAAAATTTGCATGTGGTTAACATGCAGACTTGAAATATCAAACACCCCTCGTAAATTCAAAAAAATTGCCAATTCAATCGACCGACATATCGGACGTTGCAATTTGTCACAATGAAAAAAACTAACCGCCGAAAGTCTTTGAACTTTTCGTTACTAAACGATTACTTTGCATCTTTGTAGAGTCGCAATTGAATCCGTATGAAAACTCCGTGATCATTGTGTGGTCTCACAGATTGATATAAGATATTACCTACAAATCGCATTAATTAGTCCTGTGCTCGAATTGTGAGTGCGTAATTTAGACACTATAAAAACATTTTAATGAAAGTTTTCATTTTATGCCTCTAGTTAGTTCTCGCTAATTATGTTGGCGTGAAAAGTGACGCATTTCGATTAGAGTAAGTAAAAAACGACTATTTCACACCGGTATCATCATGAACACCACCAGTGAGTGTATTATTAGCCAATCCAATCAAACCATACCGAAAAGAGAACTTTGTATAGTAAAACCGAGGGGTTTCATATTTCATCAGTCACATTTATCTACTAGGTATAAAATACATTTGTTTCAATAGTAAGTAACTGTTTGAAATTGAACTCATTAACTGTAAGATGAAAGACCGACCCTTTATCTTAAAATTTCAGTACAATTCCGTTTATTCCACATTTGACTTTATTACTAGTTATGCGGTATACTTTCACATTTTACAGGTGGTTGTCGGTAACCTAATGCTTACTTATAGTATTCAATTAATACAAATACCCAATATTTGCAATGTCAGGTGAGCAAAATATTCCCATTATTTAATCGCATCCGATATATTTCGATTGATCTATGCAGATATGTACTATATGTCTTCCCAAAGACGGCTAGTAGAATTGTTACGTATGGCTTATCAAATGTAACCATCAGTGTTAATATTTGTACTTATTTGTAATTTGTACAAGGTGCTCAGGGATTCACAACAAATTTCTCAGTTTTGAAAATGTGAACTCCCCATTTTTTTGTCCTCAAAGTGGATGTCGATATTTTTAACACGTTTTCGATTAGTCCATTAATTTACTTTTCCCATGTAGTTTCGTGCAAATGGTGATTAGGTACCTTTCGATTACTAGTGAGAAACCCTCAGAACTGCTCACAATCAAAATCAACGCTACAGCTAGCAAAATGCAATTACCTACTCCATAGGGCCGTTGGTTAACTCAACATTTTTGTTAGATCAAAATTGTACGCAAAGTCGGCCTTGATTACCGTGTAAGATCATTCCAATTAAATGTCAGTTTAGTGCGAATGTCAGACAAGTTTGTTTTAGCGATTGTAAACGTGTTCCTCATCTAGCCACTAAAAAATTCCCATTCATTTAATCGCCAATAATGAATACCTCAGTTACGAAAATGCCTCCAATTACTATGAGTAAATTGTATATCGGAAATTTGCCGGCCGACACGAACGAGATGATTCTAAGACGATTATTTCTGGAGCAGAACTTACCTTGCACGAACGTACTTGTTAAACGTGGAGGTTACGCTTTCGTGGATTGTCCCGATCAGTCATCGGCCGATAAAGCGATTGACAAGCTTAACGGTAAGTGACAGGGTACATCTCGAACAATAGCTGACACGCTGTCTAAACTGCTGTGAAACGGTAGTTATTTTACTAATTGTAGAGGTGAAAAACAGCAGGGCGAAAGGTTTACAGTTATAAACTGCTCTGCTCAAGAGTTAACTGTTAGGAAAAAAATAGAGACTTCTTGGCGATTAGCTGACAGCTACACGAGAAAATGAAACAATTCCATTCATACCCACACGTTTATAACCGTTCAGAGCACGTTTTGCTATTTGAGAGACATCACGTGCCATATTGCTTCATTCCCCCAAACCCACACAGTGTATACTTAGCTTATCAACAGCAATTTTAGGCAGAAAATAAAGTTGACATTCGTTACAATAAAATGAACCTTCTCTTACGTTCGGCGACTCTTTTGAGAGCCCTCAGAGAAATAAATAAATATGTGCCTTCTTATCCCACACTTTCCCTTACATAAGCTAATAATTACTCGATTTGTTTCAGGTTTTAATTTTAATGGATCGTCACTGCAAGTTGAACCGTCAGTTGCGTCAGGGAAGAAGCGGTGAGTTTGTTTCTTCAATATCTATATTCGTATTCGTGAAATTCGGTAGACACCTTTACTTCAGAGAGCTCTTAAAGGGTAGCAAAACTCTTTGATCTCAAAAAGACGAAAAGAAGTTGTTATTTAATGTTCCACCGCAAGTCGAGGGGGTGATTTTACTTTATCGACTTTATAAAACCGAAATGTGATTTGCTGAGCCCAGTTCGTGATCATAGCACCAACGCGGTTGGATCTAGATGGAACTTTTTTAACGCATTTTCCAAAAATGAAAAACTCGTACAAAGCCCGTTTCATAACATAGATTCCCCATTCGTGCAAACTACTACTTCGTCAAAGGAACGGTAAAACATGTAAAAGTATATTGGGCTCTGCGTTTCTTTTAACACGTTACTTATTTACTCTTTTTCGCGCATATCACGTGGAATATGCAGCTATTGCGGAAAATTATCCTTTTACGTGTCGCAGATGTGAGCACAGATTCATTATTTGTTTGTGTTTTATATCGAAAATTGTGGATCAGAATAAATAGAAAAAGAGCTCAGTTAGTAAACCTACCTTCCACGTCCGGAAGATTGTAACTTCATTTGAAGGAATTTAAAAAGACGGTGCCAACTCAAATCCTTCCGGAAGCATTAAAAAATTATACTAAAATTTGTTCTTTTGATACTCAAAATCTGCCTTTTCGTGCCGGACGGTCAAAAAAGACACAAAATGTACAATCGTATCAATACATGTAAAAAATGTCATGGTGCCGGATGGCATGTTGCCGCAACATCGCAATAATGGACCTTTTTTTGCCGTACGAAAAAGTTCTATACAGGGTTAGGAAAAATTACCAGAACTGTTGGTTATTTCAAAATATACAGGGGTTATCGTATACATGTCTGTGATAAATTTAAATATACAGGGTTGCACACTAGTTGTGGATAGTTTCTTTTAATAGAACACCCGGTATATTATTAGATATAGTGATTGTCGACTCAATTTTAAACATTTTTTATTAACTATTATACCTAAATTCATTAGTTTTCCAAGAAACAATTTAATAAGTTCACTTTTAAAAAAGCGTATAACAAATCATAGCAAAACGGCTCTATTTTTAATAAGTCTTGAGAAAGACTCCCACTTACTAACTGGAAATGATATATATTATCGCAAAAATGTCTTTGGGTTCTTAAAACCTCCCTTGTTATTTTCGCAATTTCATTGCAATTTTCATTCTGAATGTTATTTTAAATTATTGGAGTTTTTTCGATAAACATTATTTTTCAGGTGACCCCAATAAAATAAATCTAATGGAGCTCCATCTTGCAAATTGGATGCAAATTATTGTAAATTAATATCACATACCTCCTGATCTGTTTGTCGCCGTACCCTCTAAAAATAAAAATATCAATTCTCTCTGTTTCAGTTGGTTTCAGTAAGTAAAAACGCCATGATATTTTCTTTTTTGCTTGTTTTTGTTAGAATTTGACATTTAGATTTCAAACTATTGATTATTGATTAGTAACAAACGCCGCGCCTTATTTATGCTCAGGTAAATACGACTATGTTCAAATATCGCACTGTTATCCGTTATTATTTGAAACGGCGATTTCTAGAAAACTAATAAATTTAGGTACAGCATATGGTCAATAAAAGAATGTTTAAAATTGAGTTGACAATCAAAACATGTAATAATATACAGGGGGTTCTATTAAAAAAATTATTATTCCCCACAACTTTGTGGGCGACCCTGAGTATTAAAAGCCCAGCACACCCCTCTCCCATTTTCATTGAAGGGTGTATTAGAGGTTTTTTTTTGAATTTGCAATAGTGTGTTTAGTGACAGTCAATTTGACAGCTGGTTTGTGCTCAGTAAGGTTTGCCATTGCACCATCAATAGACTTATGTATAATGGTGGAGTATATGGTCGTGTCTTAGTTTTTAATGGTTTTGTGGAATATTAAATACTTTCGATTAAAGCATTCATGTGTAATTTACTATGTCTATGTATTCTTTCGTGTTGAGGCCGTTAGGGTATTACATATTTTTATCATCAATAATCTGGAATTTCTTCCAATGTATCCTTCCATTTTAGTTATGTAGGATATAATAACAGGAACATGGTCTGATAGATCCATGTAGGTCGTTTGATATGGTTGTTCGCTAAAGTCCTTTTGTATTAATTTATCTAAAATGTCCGGTTGATGGTCAACGCAATAGGGATAATATGTAAAATCATCTGATGGTAGTACTTGAAAGTTGTAAGTTGTGGGATAATTTTAATAATTTGCTACCAGCTGGGTTAGAAGTTCAGCACCCCCACATTTTATTTTTGCTGTTTAGGTCACCAAATAATAATGTGGATTTACTAGTTGTTAGGGAGCGAACTCATAATTCGACACGGAGAATTAGAAGTGAGCCATGATTAACGAGCGGCAATATCCGCCCATTTTGGGAAAAGGACTCCCTAACCACCGAGCTAACCACCTTACGATATATATTAATGTTTTTCTAGGCTTAAGTTTAGTTCAGTAAGCGTGGTTGGTAAATACAGTCCACTTAGTGTAAGAATTAGTGTAAGGTGCTACAATAAAGGAAACCGTGAAAGCACTACTTGTTCTTATTTCAAATCAACATCTACCCCAACTGGGCTTGCTGGATTCAACACTAGTGTTAAACATTATTTTTATGTGTGATTCCAGAAGAATTTTATTGAGCGGTTTATAGCCACTTATTATATTTACAAGGTTATTGGACTGTTGTTTTACCTTATTTTACACATTGGAGCTTGTTGCAGTTTATAGAGATCGTTGATTCGTAATGTACTATCTGTCGTTTGATAATAATTCAGTTCATAACTAACGAAGATGTCAAAAGGGCCTTCCTTATTCATTGACCTACATTCACGATCCACAAATTTGATAAAGAACCCACCTGAATTTCATCGCAATCGACCCATTTGTTTTTGAGATAAAAAACTGCAAATGGGGCCAACACGAATTGAAGAATTGTTAATGAGTAAAACAAAACCTTCCTCATACTTCTAAGGTTTTATGTTTTACAAGTCCATGTAGTATTGACATGACGTTATCTATCACATAAATTCAACTGAAACATGAAAGATCGGCTCTAGGGTAAGAAACAGTGAAGAGCGTGAGATTCCGGTTATCTTTGAGAGTAACTTAATTAAAGTTTGACAACGCCTTCAAGGGATGAGAACAACTTCACGATATCCGCCATGTTGAACAGAATGGCGACTGGTCTCGAAACCTGTCACATGTTTTCTTATGCTTCATTTAACACATTCCCGCAAATGAATTTCGTTAGCACTCAGAAGATTCATCTATGACAATTTTCAAAACTACTGTCAAGGGACAGAACGACGGACAACTACACAATAGGTAACATTTACAGTGTCGAGTATCTTGTCGCTGACATAGGTGGATACCAGCAACTCCAGCTTTGGGGTCATTTGAGGTCACATTTTAGATGTTTTACACAACACATCCCCGAACTGTGATGCCGAATAAACTGATTTCCGTGATTTGATACATGATACCACTGATGTGGAAAAGTCCGTGTCTAACGTAGATCCTAAGCACCTAAATTTAATAAACCATCCTTATATATAAACGTACATATATGAATATAACAATCAATACCAATTTTCAAATGCATTCAGTTGTAAAAATTCTATTTATGCATACCCTACCGACGTTTATTATACAACGTAGCTACTTATAATTGAATCCAAAAAAATAACGATACAGCTTCATTTTTGACCTCTCTTAATGAGACCGACAAAGTTTGATTTATTAGCGTAACGCAATTCCGAAAGGGAGACTGTAGCAATTTTAAAAGCTGCAGCAGCAACCCCTCTTGAGTTTCCTTCCAAAGAACGGATTTAAATTACTTTCTCAAGATGAACGGAATATTATATACTTTAACGTTACCGGTATATAGCGGTTTTCCTGGAACTCATTCTAAAGGCCGTTTCGTTTTTCAGCATGTATAAGGTAGGTATGCCGGGTGGCATTGACCATAGGACCACCGCTACATTTTAATAAATGCTAAACTTGTTAGTGTGTTTAGAACAAAGAAACCGAAATTCTCGTAAAAGGTAAAAGAACGTGGAATGGCATTTTGTTTATCCACATCCACACACACACACATTGCGCTGTCGGGGTTGTATTTTAAAGTTTAGCATATCACTGGCTGGCGAAAGGCGAAATATGCCTTAAGATATACCTACTTCTTTTTACGCTGGCACATCGGATAAGTTCTGTAGGTTTTTGTTTTATAATGCACACAGAAGCCTTGGAGGTTCGATGTAAATTTGATACGAACCTTGCGTTGTGCTTGAAACCAGATGGTTTTTTTTTATTTTGTAGAGAAGTGGGTGTATTTAGGATATAAGCCAACTTCCTGTGAAAACGGGGTGGCACAAAAGGAAAAAATTATATAGAACCTTCGCTTTTTCGACATTTCTAGGAAGTGGATGAGGTTAAAACCGAATTAAATAAACTTTTTAATGTTCATCATCAATAGAATTCTGGTTTTCCAAAGAAATAGGCAATGTTTGTACTCTACACTGACTATTTTGACCTAAGACGTATGTTTGGCTTTGTACGGTAATCAGCTAATCACCCATTTAATTTCGTCGAAAACTTCAACTTCTTACTACTTAATGGTACAATATCGCCATATTTCTGGTATTGCAAGTGGTCGGCACGCGCGGTTAATGAATCAGGTGCAAAAATGAATTTCGGCAAGCAGCCTGCAGCTTGTCGATTTAAATGCAGATTACAAAGACAGATGCAACCTTTATTGAAATGAATTGCAATTTTACGAATTGCTAAATCGTTAAGTTTGCTTTAATCGTCTTGTACCTATAGAGATTTTGAACATGGAATATAATTACCATTACCACTCAAAGGTTTTAACTAAGTAGTTAATATGTGCAATTTGCACTATTATGTCCCCTGTCCACTCCATGTTACATCTTAATTACATGTACACAACTTATGTAAATGGTATCTCACTAAAAACTTCAATCTTGCCACACTTGAAAAACAGTGATATGAATCGTATAGGTAAATGTATTAAGACTCACTTCCACTTCAAGTTCAATACTTTTGGTAACAAGATTTAACAAAAAACGTGACCTTATTTTTTTAAATTAAGTTACGATTATGCTACCCTAACTATCAATGTATAGTATTTTTCACTATTCAAAAATCAAAAACCGGAGAGTCTCTACTAAAATCTATGGAAAAATCTGTCTAAAATAACAAAACTAGCAGTTGCGTCAAAAATTTGCCCGATCGTCCGTCCGGTCTCTTAAAATAGTTTACTATCCATCTGAGTGGTAAAAGAATGTATTTCTAAGGAGTAAATTCTTAGACGTTTCACCTACTACGAGTTTACATGTACATACCAGTATTCATACGAGTTATTTTGAGCGTGCTAAAAAGTAGGCGAAGAAACAAATGAAATTATCTGTCAACTTCCAGTTGAACAATGTTGCCTATACTATCATGACAACATAGGCCATCATCCAATATAAGTAGGTACTACGTAGTATGAACAAATGGTGTATATCCATAGCAATATCCATTGTTTCATCATTAGAATAATTATCAGCCATTTCGTGATAGTGAAGATGAAAATAACAAGACGTATAAATTTGACAATAAAGCTATAGCAATCGTTTTCATCGCCTACCCTTTCAAAGGGATGTATTCACTCCACACGTGCATTTGTTACTTAGTTATCGTTTTACGTTTTTAATTCATTAGATAACTATGACCTGTGATATATCGTTGCAAAAAGAATTTTGTACAGTTTCAGAATATACACTGGTCCAACATAAGGCTCTCTATCATAGGGATGTCGAAAACCATAGAAGATACGACGATGGTCAAATTAGGGAAAAGTTGCGCAATTAAAGGGATATCAACAGGCCAGGCAGTAAAGAAAACCTGAAAATTCCTATGACTTCCGAAGATGTACCAGAAAAACAGAAATTTGCCGATTTTGTTTTTATTTTTTTCTGTTCGGTTATTTGAACAGATACAGAAAAACTATTACTATTTACAAAATCGAAAAGTGTCTAGGTAATCCCTATAGGTACACGCTATGTGTATGGATATAGAGAAAGCTAAGTTTGCCACTCTTCCTCAAATGACACGCTGTGAACGCCTTATTTGAAAAAGATGGTAGTGCGTGGACTCCTACCATCAAATGCTTGTACTTATTCTATATGATATGCTTTTACCAGCTGACCTATATTTCTCCTTCAATGGCTGGACATTTATGAAAAAAACCTGAAAGTTCTCCATTTATAAGCTCTATTTTTACTATTAATAATTTCTTTTTATTTAATCTTAGTAATAATAATAATTTACACCTGTTGAGTGTTTTTCAAAACAGTTAAATCTACAGGTTCGTAATTAAACAGTAACCACGTCCTTTATTTATTCAATTACTCTAAAATTATGTAAAAAAAATTACTTTCGTCTCTAAAAAGGGTGAAGAAAATGCGATTTCCCTCTCCAGTGAGGAAAGTAAAAACAATTGCTGCGTTAATCTTAATATTGACATTTAAAATTGAAACACACTCGCATCTCGATTGCTATGTATTAAACTGCATTATTGCATACGATCATTTTTCAATTTTGATTGTAGCTTCAGAAAAAATTATGTGTAAAACTTGCTGTACTCATAATCTCTTCCGCCGATTTGATTTCCGTAATAGCCGAATCGTCGTAAACAGCTACAGAAATGTCCTCTTCATTTTTAACTTTGAACCTTATTCTAACCTCATGCAACATTCTCTTTTGTCTTTTAGACCTCTTGGTCCATTTTGAGGAATAACACATTATGCATGAAAACCTATAGAATTTGACACTATATCATCATGTGTTTTACGGATGGTATCACCTCAAGAAAACATGCCCTTGTAGGTTTATAGATACCACTATGCACGCGGCAATTCTAAAACTACTATTCAAAGCATCAATTACTTTAAGATAATTTTCGGAAGTTCGAAATTGGTGGAAAGTTTCCTGGAACTTTTTCTCACTTTACTTCCAAAAGCGGTGTTTCACAAAATATGACATTTTTCTATATTTACTGCATGGTCATGTTTTAAATTTTACACGCCAATGTAAAATGGACAAATAGACAACACAAAACAATTAACGGAAGTTTACCATTTATTAATGTATTTGATGAACAATATTTCTTCAGACCTAGAAAATTGTTTTACATTCCTTTGTAAATTAAAACCGCTTGCTAAAGACGACTTACTCAAAACCGAATTACGCAGGTGTGTTCAAATGTTCCTCGTTTGTCCAGTTTGATTTGAACATTCATAATTAGAAGCGAGGAATAGGTAATCATCGAGTTTTCGACAATAAGCACAATTGTCTATCCTTAAATATTTCTTCTACTTCAACAATACTGCCGACTGCCGTTAGTGTTACCTAGTAGTTCTCATTTCCGAAATTAGAATACATATTTTGAAAATGGTCTTCATTCATACAATCTCGCATAATTTAACAATAAAACTTATAACAGAATGTCTTTGTTTCAGATCGTATGTAACTTCGTACCCCGATATACCAGTAGACCAAATAGGAAGTGGATGGATGTAAGTAATCTCTATTTTCGAACGCTTTTTTTAGGCTCGCCTAATTATATATTGTGCTTACGTTTGCTACTGCTTAGCTTGTAGTCTCACTAGTCTTAGCAGCTTAAGCAACTTATGCCCTAGCAGTGCACCAATGTGAGGTAATTCGTGCTGGCAATATTGGACTTTTTTTAATTCACAGCCTCACAAATCGAGAACTTCCATATTGCAGGAACACAATAAAAGGTCCCTTGGAATAATAACACAAAATTTATTGCCGCAGTTTTATACCTTTTGCAAGGAAGGAAAACGAGATTTACTAACTTTATATTGTATACATACTTTTCATCTCCACAACAATACCACGAATACATTCGGAAAAATAGCATTTTGAGTGATGTGTTTTCGTATCAGATATAGATCATTGGATGGTGCAAAGGAGCGTAACGTAAACACAACATTAATTTCAAAGGAAAACACCATTAATAATAAAGAAACTCTTCATACTTATAAAAACACTTAATTGATTAATCGTATCGGATAACATTTGTAACCGGCACACGTATTTGTTCATGTTGACATTTATTGTAGGGAGTAGATTTCAGAAAATTTATGCTGTACTTGTTTTCGCTGCATTTCCCAACGGAGCGAGGCGGAATCATCCCCAGATTAAGAAGAATGGCTCTTATATTTCACATAATTTTTGTACGTTTCACGTCACTTTGCTTAGGTTCTATACAACGCGGAGCAACTTTTCGTATTTCTCATAAAATTGATCCTACAGTTAATCAGTCGAAAGGGGTTTTCGCTACAACTTCTGCTTGTCGACCATTCCATTTATTTAAAAATAGTCGCTACGGAAAAGTTTGCCTTCGCGTGTTGGATTAATGCTATTTGGAAAGATGGAAACAAGGAGGCATATTTTGTTAACGTTTCTTATTTTTGCTGTCTTCTGTAATGAAAATATAGGTATACATTCTGGAGTTCTTATGTTCGTTAATAGAACAAACAGCGTTTTGAGGAAATTAAAAGGTTTTAACCCCTGAAGCGGGTAAATTAAAAATCTGTTTGAATATCATCAATGAAACTTGATATTCGTTATAATTCTTACGCAATCACTCCTCACCGCATTTATTTTGCCTTTATTTTAACTGTAACTTACAGTCATTTGGCAACTTTAATCTGTCGTTCACAAGTAATGAGATTGTGCCTTGCTTTCCTGTTATATTTCATTCATAAGTACTATACTTCTGAATGGCAACTATTAAACTGCCAAATGTACACAGATTACTGAGTCATTTCCAACCTTTATTTCGGACTATTTTTTTTAGGACAATAACGTCCCTAAATATATAAAGTATAAAAAAGTTTGTTACATTTGATCCGAAAATTTGCCATTTTAAAAGGTTGTATCCTCGTCAACCGTCTAACACCACTTAACTTGAATTTACACGTCTCGTCTTTACCTGAATTATCCCATCGATTCGACACCGAGTAACTTAAAACTAAAGCTATTTTTATAACTAATCTTATTACATTAGTGTATACACGCGAAAATCAATAATAATACAGTCAAAAGGAAACAATACAAGTAAATTAACGTTAAAAGACCCTGCAGTATCAAAATAAGCCTTCGAAAAGACAACAATATCTGTCGAGTTTCAAAATTCTGTATTTTCGGTTACAATCTTCCATTGTCGCCCCCGGAATTGGACACGGTAGTACCGTTGGAAGGTTTTAGTGTGGTTTAACGTTATTTTATGTAAGAATATTTTTCTACAGGCAAACGTTGCATAAAGAATTCATTGACGTTCGTTCTTGCGTGCAAACCGTATGTTTTCGTTTTTATTAAGCTAGAAATTTTTTGCGTTTCGTATTAGCGCGATTCATCGCCGCTGAATAAATGAACAAATAAAATTCCCGATACCTTTGCATTGGTTTCGCCGAAATCGAAAGTAATCCTGTTAAACACGCAAGGTTTACTGCTGCATTAATAAATTAAGACCGGTACCTCTCTGCATACAGAGCGCCCTCGCCCTCTCGAGCGCGAATCGAGTTAAAATATCAAAATCGCTTGCACTCTCCCAAAATGCACAAATTTATTTGCAAAACGAAGAAGAAATACACGTGACGATCCTTTTCAGGAGGACGTTGACTTTTCCGGTGGATGGCGTCGAATCGATAAGTTCGGAATTGAATGTGTGCGCGCTTGGAAAACCAATATGCGGGAAAAACGTATAGAAAACGGTTAATAATCTAATTTGTCCACGGCGGTGATTATTTTTATAAGCGGAGGAATGTCTAAAAAAAGATTACAACTAAATAGGGCATTTTCGGGTAAAGGTGATGGCACGACACGTGCCCTTTAATAAAATGTTCAATCCGGCATTTAAATACATAGGTATATACGATAAGTGCTGACCGAATGAACTCAAGAATAGGGCAGCGGGAAGAAGTTCGGGCGTCACGTCTACGTCAACTTAAAATAGTGCAAAAATCAATAGTTTGCGCCTACCACACCAATATTTTATTTTTATGGCGCTGACGAATATTTCAGAATACCAAACTTTGTTAAAATTAATTACAGCAACGTGTAACCCAAAATGTGGGAAGCCAATCTAGGAATATCCCCTGAAATATGTTTACATAAAAAGTGTTCTCAATACATACCTAACATTTAATTAATCATTTCGTAAGGGTAGGAAAGTGAACCTATACTCTATTCAAAACTATTCTGCCGCTCTAAACGCATTCATTGCGAAACGAAAAGGCAAAACATTTTCAGACATGCATGTCGATACCAGTGAGGGATTTCCGCTTTATGCGGAATATTTTGCGGAAATATACATTTTTTGTGGGCCGAACATGAAGTGTAGGTTTTTAATCACGAATTGTCACTTTGGTACTGCCAAAATCCTTAGGTATATAACCAGGCTGCCAAATTTAAATGCCTACACCCCAAATTATTTTATTCTTATTAACCACATTTTAAGTACATTAAAAATGTGATTTTGCTGAATATTAATCGCTGTTTCTCATCAAAATGAAGGAATTTAGATTTTGTCCTTTTTTCCGGTAAGCAACAGCAAACTCAACCATTACAAATTTATGAAGTAATTATCACCCAAACGCGTTAAAAAAGCGATTATGTTCAACTTTTCCAAACACTCAAAAATAGTGTTGATTTGTATGCCAATAGGCCGTTAAGTTTCACTTATACAGCGCATATCTAGTTAAACGATCCACATATACCTACATTAATTAAAGCTGGGTACACATCCAGTGTTAATTCGATCTTTGTATTGTTTTAAAAAATTGTTTTTTGAGTTAGATATCTATTTAAACGGATTAGTAATTAGACTTCACACCTTCAATCCGCTTGGAAACTTTCTATGGTTATTAAAACGATGGAAGAATTTATATTTGCTTGACGTTGAGGATCTTGTACGGAACTCCTATACATGTAATTTAATTTGCAATTTAATGCTTTGTTCTGGCTGTGTCTGTACAGAATGGTTCAAATTCGTTCCCCACCATTGGGATATCCGTAACGGGGTGTGGTGATACCGTGTATCGAAACCGAAATTTTTCAAAAATTTTTCAAAATAACTGAAATATCACCGAAAAATGAAAATGTCAAATTTCGTTTTCAATTTTCCGTAACTTAAACGGTCAGGAATGGAGGGTTCTCGTTGGCACCTTCTATGTGCACATTTTTTCGTGGAATCTAAATGTGTTTTCAAAATTTCCAAAGCACGCTAGATGTAGAAGGTACAGGGTATTATTTCCTTATTTCTTATGGGCACTATATTGGATTTTTAAGGCATGAGATAGAGGACAAAAAACGAAAAATAAAGACTGTCCCATTCTATACTTTTACATAAATTTCAGAATCAATTGTTTTACATTCATTTGTTCTCAACAAAACATCCACGGGTAACTGGATCATTCTGAATCAACATGGCTTTGATGGCGATGCATTCAAATGAATTTCTCTTTTTGTGTATCTTATCTTAGCCTGTTGTGGAAATTCTCATAACAGATTCAGATTCTCCAAACAATAATGACAGCCAATGAGGCGACCGGAACCACTCCAATCGCACTGATCAATGCATTACACTATGCTATTATTTTGTGTACAACTGTATTTAATTAACTTTTTAACGCGAGTTGTCAGCTTAATTAATCTTAGACGTGACCTAAAATGTCCACGACTCTTTCTCTCTCAAAATTTTGTAGCTCATACCTTATTCAGTAAATATAAGTTTTATAGCCAAAAGGACATTTCCCATTACTCAAAATTACACAATTCAAGTTTCTTTTTATCTTTAGAGTAACCAACCTTAAACCTTTATAAATTTCTGAATATAGTATTCTGGGTTCAAGTGGAAGACCAGGAGCGGCACTTAAGGGCCAGTCCCTGAACTTGCACCTGTTGCCTACAATTATGCAATAACCTGATATTTGTTTCGATAGTCATTGAATTATTGGGCAATAAAGGTTCTACGTAGTTCAATAAATAAATATTGAATAGCTTCCAAAACCTTTTCAGCTCTCGACACCATTTAGGGGAACATCTGTCTCAAATTTCAACCAAATCGGTCTGGTTGTTTCGCCCGAACCGCGAACATGCATATACACGAATAGGGCGCACCCAGAACAATTTTTTTGAGCGGAGGAGGGGGATAGTTTTTAGTTATATCGCCATTCTGTAGATATGCAAGTATAAATAATAGGATAGGCTATAAGGGATGTCATAAAAGTCCACATTTTTCTGGTTTTTTTAGTCACACAATAAAATGAACAACTCTGCCCCCATTTAACCCCATTTTCGTTGTGCCAGTCAAAACGTAGCTGAAAGACTTGTACGCTCGAACTCATTATCTTGGACCAACTTATCCACGCTTATTGACTTTAAGAGTTTTTCATCTTGTACGAACTTGAGTTGCTGAAAGTACAACAGTTTTTTAAAAGTGCAATAATTATATACTTCCTACTAAAATATTAATCAGTTGTATAAC